CCCCAAATATACACACCCTCACTGCACCCTCTCCCCAATCCAGCACAGAATGCACCCCCCAAATATACACACCTCATTGCACCCCTCAATCTCCCAAATGTACACAATACAATGCACCTTCTTCCCAATCCAGGAGAGTGTACCCCCAAATATACACAGCAATATGCCCCCCAACATACACATCACAATGCACCATTCCCCTCCCCAATCCAGCACAGTGCATCCCCAAATATACACAACACCACAATAGACCATCTTTCCTCCCCAGTCCAGCCCCTAAATATACACAGCAATGCACCCCACCCCCTGCAATCTTGCACAGAATGCACCTCCCAAATATACACAACAGAATATAGACCTCCTCCCCTTCCTAATCCAGCACAGAAGGGACCCCCATCCTCAAACCCAGCAGTCCTGAACAATGCATTTTATCTCTTCCCCTCTCACTTCATAACAGTAGAAATCCCATGAAGGAAAGAATGCACCATGGAGCCCTGCTTTAGTTGGGGGCCTTTGGACACTACTACAATATAAATAACAATATGAAAAATGCATATATCATCTAGGGCATCATGCCCCATATCTAGAACAGCATAGAAATACCACCTAGAAAAGAACTGCTAGAACATACATTCAACTTAGCAAGTGTCAAAATGGGCCAGGTCGGTGATCCACTACTCTTTTTGATACTCTCTTTTTTTTTTGGTACCATCTTATTCTCCAGAATTTCTGCTTTCATTTAAATAAAAAAGGTCTATCTTTAGCCATTTATAGTTGCAAACTAAAGTAAAGTAAGTGACCCTGTCTCCCTGAATTTGTAGTCTGAAGTAATGGCTTCAGTGCCTACAAATTGCCACTGTTCATTCATTCCCATGGGGCATCGGTTTAGATCTTAATTACAATAATTTAAATGTCAGTGTTAACTCTTTAGAGAGACAAGGTGGGTGAAGTAATAGCTGTTATTAGACCAACTTCTGCTGGTGTGAGAGACACGCTTTTGAGCTTACACAGAGCTCTTCTTCAGGTCTGGGAAAGGTACAGTGTGTCACAGCAAAATATAAGATGGAACAAATTTCCCAGATCTAAACAAGAGCTCTATCTGTGTAAGCTCAAAAGCTTGTCTCTCACCAACAGAAGTTGGTCCAATAACAGATATTGCCTCACCCACTTTGTGTCTCTAATATTCTTGGATCCACACAGCTACAACAACAGTGCATACAATAGTAATAGTATTAACTCTTTCACAGCTGATCAAAGCATGTAAGAAAGGAGAGGGAGGGTCATTTTCAGAACTGCCCTGTCTGCACTGAGTAACCCAAGCGGTTGGCACCAGGGACAGTACCACTACTTATTTTTAACCCTTCTCCAAGGGGACAGGTGGCAAGCATTGTTCCTCACAGCCCCTTGTTCCTGAAGGACAGCAAGGGCTCCCACTTTCCCCAGCACCCCAGAGGAAGCAGCAGTGCTGGCAAGGGGCCACCCAGTGGAGCTGGAAAGCCCCTTCTTCCCCCTGGATTGATGGCAGAGGTTCCATTGCCTCTACTGTGGGGTTTGGGAGACATGAGGGGACACCTAGCTCCAAGGTTAGCTACTAGTTTGACTCAGCCACATTGATATCACTACAGTATTGCCAACCCCAAATGTTCAAAAGTCATGAGTCAGGCCCCATAAAAATCATGAAATTGGCTCAGAAATCATTAGATTTTCAAAATTAGTACATTGAGGGGTTTTTCTTTACCTTTGGATTTTTGAGCCCTTAGGGTATGTCTACACTGCAATTACACACCCACAGCTAGCCCATGCCAGCTGACTCGGGCTAAGGGGCTTGAGCTAAGGAGCTGTTTATTGTGGTGTAGATGCTCCCTCTTGGGCTGCAGCCCAGGCTCTGGGACTCTCCCACCTCACAGGGTTCTTGAGCCCAGGCCTCAACCTGAGCCCAAACATCTACACTGCAATTAAACAGCCCCACAGCCCAAGCCCCGCGTGCACAAGGCAGCTGGATGTCTAATTGCCATGTAGGCATACACACAGGGTACATGTAGGTCACATTTTCAAGCTTTTCTTCACAGCCAAGAGGGCTAGAAACTTCCCATATTTTTACCTGCTTCTTCTATCACAACTTTTCAGAAATCTGGCCTTTCCTCTCCAAATGGCTTAAATGTTTGTCCACACCTTGGCCTCCAGTCTTGGTTACTGCAACCTCCTCCTCTCAAGCCTCCTTGATATCAATATCTCTTCTTTCCAATCCAGCCAAAATACAAGTTAAAAGGATTTTCCTCACCATTTTATGAGACTGCACTACTTGCCTCTTTGAATCTCTCCCCACTGCCTGTTACATCAAATTTAACCTCTTCATTCTCATCTGAAGAATCTGTACAACTTTGCCCCAGCCTACACCTCAGATCTGATTATCTGTTATGTTTCCCCTTGTTTCCTTCTCTCTCCCAATGATTTCAGCTCTGTCATCCTTTCATTTCCTTCCCATCTCCATGTTTTCTTCTCTGCCATTTTATATGTAGGGAACAACTTCCTAGTCCCTGTGCATCAGCCTCTACATTTGCATTCATATGCCTAATGTCTTGGTTACAGGGCTAACTGCACCTTTGACCCCTTCTCTGGTCTTCCTGAAGTATCCCAGTATTGCTGGCACATTATGGCATATTCTAGCGACACCATCAGAGGACCTAACCACATCAGCCACACCATCAGGGATTCATTCACCTGCACATCTACTAAATGTGATATATGCCATCATGTGCCAGCAGAGCCCCTCTGCCATGTACATTGGCCAAACCGGACAGTCTCTACATAAAAGAATAAATGGACACAAATCGGACATCAGGAATGGTAACATACAAAAGCCATTCAATCTTTCTGGACATTCTATAACAGAGGGTAAAAAAGGATTTTAAAACAACAAGAGGTCTATATGCACACGTATGTTGCCTGGGGAAGTTCTATGGCCTGTGTTATACAACAGGTCAGACTAGATGATCATAATGGTCCCATCTGGCCTTAGAACCTATGAATCTATGAAACCTAAGGCCTTCCACCCCAGGGGGGAGCCTAGGAAGGCCTAGCTTCCTCGGACACCCCAATGGGTTTCTGTGAGTGTCAATCTGTCCCTTCTCTTTCCCCCCACCCCTACAAATCCTTTGTCTATTTTGCCAGGCTTTTTGGTTCTCTTTATAAGCTGGGATCCCCTCCCTTGACAAGCTAGTCCAGTGAGCTCAGCATCAGAGGTAGGACATCAAAGTGAATGGCTCTTGCATTGTCTCTTCAGTGTTGGCAGGGCTATCTCAAGCCATTGCACTCTTCCTTGCAATCAGCCTCTTCTTGAATTAACCCTTTCTTTCATAGATTAAATTCCCTTACAACAATCATCTGAACATATAGTCGTCATACATTTTAATAGAGCAGACCCATGTCCTTCCCACCTCATAAAGCCTTGCTTCTTCTGCAAAGCCCACCTTTGCTAACGGACGTCAGCCATCTCCATCAGTTAAAAAAATGATGGTCAGAGACCAAGATAAAACTAAATAATAATAATAAAATAATTGTAATAATAATAATAATGAAAAAATAAATAAATTGCCACCTTCCTTTTAGTTTCCCAATGCGCTCAATCTTATTTGTGCCTCTTGAACTATAAATGCCTTTGGTCAAGAACTGTCTTTTTATTTATATTTTGTACAGGCCAAATACATCAACCATGCGTAAAAACAATAAACAATAATATTAATACACACAAAAACTAAGTTAAAAGACCATTATTAAGATTGCAAAGTCAATCACTCAAAAGTTAGGACATGCCAAAATTAAAGCTGACTGTACAATCTTAATTCAGCTCTCTGTGAAATTTTCAAAAAAAAGACAGTCTGAGGCATGGATAATTTCAGCCCAAATTGTTAAAGTTTGGCAAAGTTATAAGCAACTGAAAATAGAGTCTTATAATGCGCAGTGTCAGGCAATCTTAATAATAGTGTCTCTACCACCTGTAATAATTACTCACCCAATGAGATTTTGCAGGTGAAGTAGATTGGCAAAGTGTATCAAATGTCCTAAGAAAGACAGCAGAGGGAAGAATTTTGAGGCCAACAGTGCACAAGTACAGCGCTGAATCTGTTTTTATGCCCTCTGCCAGCCGTCCGGGCAATAAGCCTCCAGCCAGTATCCACTCCAGCCAGTATCCGCACACTAACTCCGTTTTCACGACCAGCATTAACTGCTAATTCTTCTGATTCACAGCCCAAGGACGAACAAGTGAGAAATATTGGGAAAGTAAACCAAAAAGAGGAGTCTTTTAAAAAAAGAGAAAGAGAAAACAATGTGCTGCACTCTTGAATAAGTGTGGGTGGAACGCAATTAGAACTTATTTGGTGCTCTGATAACACAATCACTAGCCTTAAAGCCATTGGGGGTGG